ACTAAATTAAAAGATGTAATTTTATTTTTAAATGTTATAACTTTAATCATCAATTATAATATTATAGGATCAATTATATATTTTTCAATTTAACCTCAATAAATTATAAATTTTGCTACGCTACCAGGACCTTAGTCTTGCGCCAGACCAAATAGCCGAGGCCGACTGAGAGATTTTGACAGAAAATTGGAACATGACAACGTGTGGGGACACNTACCAAATAGCCGAGGCCGACTGAGAGATTTTGACAGAAAATTGGAACATGACAACGTGTGGGGACACGTACGTACGTGTGTCATTTTTTAAAGCTGGGGGGTAGGGTGGCATTAATTAGTTCAAANTATTGATATTTATTCAGTGATACTTGATTACTTGAGACTCAACCATATTTATAAGGTGAGAATTGCATAATAAAGATCAAATATTACAAGTTTATCATCATCTAAACTTATCCANATTTATAAGGTGAGAATTGCATAATAAAGATCAAATATTACAAGTTTATCATCATCTAAACTTATCCAGTGATAAATCTCTTGAATCTTTTCATCATAGTCTAATTAGGGGTGAGTTGGACGATCGGCTCCGGCCTTCTAAAATTTGGAGAATCACTCTTATTATGGTATTATTAGATATTTAGCTATGAATACACTTAAACTATATAGATACACCAAAAGAATTTTTAAAAAAAAATTCCCTTTAACGGTTCTGATCGTCTATATGGCTCGTTGACAAAACTAATTTGGCATGTCATCACGCATCACATAATTTAGCCCTTATTTTTTATCTTATTTTTTGATCAATTTAACATTATCTTTTCAAAAATAAATTCTAGTAAATATATCTCATTTTCCCTTCCCCCTTCTCCTTCCCTTCCTAATGAGAAAGCAAAAGTTGGCATTGCCTTTTGCCTGTTTGTGCACTTGTAGTCTAAGTCACGTCTTCTAAGCCTAACTATTGAACTTAAAATCGGAGACAAATTTGCATGATAACGTGGAAACGTATGTTTAGTAGTAAGGGGATATATAGGTGGATGGTCATGGACTCGTGGTCATTGCGAAAATGGTTTATTAGTTTAACAAGTGCCTACATCAAGAGGCCGTCGATCACTTGACTGGAACTTATTAGCCACTTAATTGACTTGAATTCCTCGTTCTTACTTTTCAGCCTTTTACTTTATCATTATCAACTATGGCAAGGAAGAGCTAGCTTGCCTAACGTTGTTGGTCTGCTAAACGAAAAGACCAAACACTAATTCTTCTTCTATCTTGTTTTTTTATTTTAACAGTCAAGGGTGTTCAAATCAACTTAAGCGTATATTAATTAATTCCCTCTTCAATTTGATCAAATACAGGTCATCTATGTCAGAACAAGAGAATTTATGAGAGATAAATTGTTTATAACATGACCCCAAAAGAATGTCAATATTCGAATTTAGGACATCTGGATAATTCTAAGGTATACCTAGAAAAAAAATGGTACCATAGAAACACTTTTTATTTTTTATGGTCTTAGTATATTTTTTAAATGTAAAACTACAATTGCTTGAGATAAATCAATAATCAATCATGAAATATTATAATTGACTAAATTAAAAGATGTAATTTTATTTTTAAATGTTATAACTTTAATCATCAATTATAATATTATAGGATCAATTATATATTTTTCAATTTAACCTCAATAAATTATAAATTTTGCTACGCTACCAGGACCTTAGTCTTGCGCCAGACCAAATAGCCGAGGCCGACTGAGAGATTTTGACAGAAAATTGGAACATGACAACGTGTGGGGACACGTACGTGTGTCATTTTTTAAAGCTGGGGGGTAGGGTGGCATTAATTAGTTCAAATGCAATAAAGACAATCTTATGTATTACGAAAAAGAAAAGTAAACATAACCTCACGAATAAACTTGTCAATGGACCAGATTCTATCTAATTGTTTCAAGCGTTTTTCCTTCTTCTTGAATTTCTCGGAAAGAGGAAGAGGCCTGGGTCAAGCTCCTCTAATCAAAAAAATTAGGGCATACTCAGCAACTAGGCAAGGAAATTTGAATCCACTTTTGGAAAAGAAGAAATCGAATGTGCCAATGTCAATGCATTTGACTAACCGATTGAGAGATTTAATTAATTATGCCCCTTAGAAATTCACTAAATGGGAAGGTAGATGCGACCAATTCAATTTGACCGCTTGGAAGGATTACGAAAGATGCCCATGCTTAAGAATGACCAATTAAAACGAGAGATTCTCGGGGATCAATTGAGCTCTTTACCATCAGACAAATAAGGGACATAAGCCAGGTACAAGTATTTTTTTTATTAAAAAAGATTAATTTGTAGATCTTGCTTGATCAATGACAAGGACAAGAAACATTCATTAGCAAGGGAATTGGAATTGAAGAAGGAATGAATAGGGGAGAGATTTTTTCGCCTATTTGGATCCGGATTCTAATCCATGTAATTAGATATGAATCAAAATTTTCATTCGCTTATTCAAATCTATTTAAAGATCTTAAATCGGATATAGATATACACAAATTTGATCTTGTTGATATATATATATATATATGTGTGTGTGTGTGTGTGTGTGTGTGTGTGTGTGTTGGCCTTTATTACGTGTAATATATACATATGTATATTGACTATTTGTTTTAAATTTTTAAAACATATATTTTTGTTAAAATTTTGGTGGAATACCATTATAAATTGTATCAAGTAATCGGACAGGATATTTGGATATGAATTAATATTTTTTTATTTGTTGGATAAATAGATCGAATTCGATAATGAAATTTTTAATCTAATCTAAATTCAATTCGTTGACAAGTCTACCTACAAAAGAATGAAAATTGTTTTTAAGATTGACATAATATTGTTCATTACATTTTTTTAAGGTTAGCGTGTATCTGTCAAAATTATGAATCCTTTTTGTTTATCAATCACTATTACAAGGAGGAAACGATGACCATTAACCACGCATTTCTTATGTATCTTTCGATATGTGCTTGTAACGTATACTCTAAATTATATATGCACTCATCATTAACTCAAGCACATTGGACTTCCATTCCTTCTATAAAAATTGGGGTGGTTGTTTCATTTCGAGAAAATGTTGGGGTTATTGTGTTGTTTATGTAAGTTAGGCTCATTTATCACCTTGCCATTTGCATGTAAATAACAACTTAGTAGTTAGTTTCTTCTATATTATTGACAAACAATAATGTTACATTGACTTAAAAAAATTAAACAAAATATAAACCACGTGATTTTTTTTTTAAAAAAAATTGATGGAAACAATAGGTACAAACCAAATGATTTAACATTACTATAATATGATAAATTTGAATTTCGAACGTATAAAGTAAAACTAACAATACTATTGGGGCATGTTTGATTTATGTATTAAGATATGGGATTTGATTAATTTAATTCGGTACTGATGTAATACTAAGTTTATTTTGAGTTATACCANATGTTTGATTTATGTATTAAGATATGGGATTTGATTAATTTAATTCGGTACTGATGTAATACTAAGTTTATTTTGAGTTATACCAATTCGGTATTAATTGTTCATTAATCCTAACTTTANAAAAAAAAATTGATGGAAACAATAGGTACAAACCAAATGATTTAACATTACTATAATATGATAAATTTGAATTTCGAACGTATAAAGTAAAACTAACAATACTATTGGGGCATGTTTGATTTATGTATTAAGATATGGGATTTGATTAATTTAATTCGGTACTGATATAATACTAAGTTTATATTGAGTTATACCAATTCGGTATTAATTGTTCATTAATCCTAACTTTATTCATTATTATCATTCAATATCTAATATTATGTATTAATGAATATCATATGGTAGGTAATATTATTTTTAATAAGTTTAGTATTAAAAAACAATTACTTTATTACCCTTACAAATTTAAATTTAAAAAGTTATATATTATATAAGCTATTGCTCGATATTGATTTTATTATTTTCAACTTAAGACCATACGCTATGACCTAATCTAAACACAAATTCCTTATTTTAATTGTAAATTTATATTTGTATGGATTAAGTGGGAATCAATTATTCAATCTCATCTTTTATTTGTTCTCGAACCAAACATGCCTTTATAAAAAATTAATAATATCAGATCATTTAGTCCCTATTTTTGATATCATTTTTTAGTNAAACATGCCTTTATAAAAAATTAATAATATCAGATCATTTAGTCCCTATTTTTGATCCCATTTTTTATTNTTATAAAAAATTAATAATATCAGATCATTTAGTCCCTATTTTTGATATCATTTTTTAGTCATTCTAATATTACTATGTTGACAAATATACTTTGGATATGTTCTTGAAAAATTATATTTATAATAAGACTAATTATTTATTAAAAAATAATAAGATAACAATAGTTTACACATCACACATTTTTTATTGCATAATAAAAATACATTACTTACCGAAAAAAAAAATTATATTTTATGTTGCGATGACTGACTGACAAAGCTTCTATCAATCACAATTTGTGAGCAACTCGTCGTAGTTCCTTCCTAGTGTGAATAATTCAGGAGAAAAAAAAGTCAACTATTCTTTGTGAGCAAGAAAGGGCACATTTGACATTTTGACTGTGGACAAAACAGAGTGAAGATTGAGGGGCATATCCGACAAACGGACTGATTTAGGGTTTTAGCAGACTTTTTGGACAACCCCCGTTCATTCAACTACTCTTGTGTTGTGAGATAAAAGGTCAATTTCGTGGCTCTTCCAGACAAAAACCCTTATAAAATACCATATTTTCAATATTACCACAGTGAAATCAAAATGGTTCAGACTGTTGTTTTGAAAAAAAGCAGGGGCATTTTGTGGACACTCCTTCGATATATACTGCTTCTCCCTTTCAATCTCATCTGATTCGACGAACATCCGTCTTCTGCGTCTCTCAAATAACTCATTGACCATTCTCTCTCTCTCTCTCTCTCTGAAACCATGCAGATTGGCTCTACAATTCCGGCACAGAACCTTCACCTTTTGCAGGCCAGACGTGCCAGCTTCGAGTGCAGGGGGTCGCCATTAAACCCAGCAACAAGACCAACAGCTCATGCACAGACTTTGAAACCAGTTACATCCACCGAGTTTACTCGGAAACACCTCTCCAACCTTGAAAAACTTCTACAAAAGCAATCTCAACCCAGCCTTCCTCCTGACCTAGAACCAGTTCAAGACGAATCAAATAATTGGTCGCCGGAGAACAAAGGAAAGAATCCCTTGGAAGGGCTTAAATTGGCAAGAATATGGCCGGAAATGAAGGCTGCAGAGGAAATGTCACCGCGAAATTTGAATCGTCTTCAACGCCTTCTGTCAAAGTCGCCGGAATATTCTCCGAGGAATATTCTTGGTAGCCGGTGGCGGGAGTACCACGGCGCCAATGATTGGTCCGGCCTCCTCGACCCACTTGACGAGAATCTCCGGCGAGAGCTGGTCCGATTTGGTGAGTTTATTCAGGCGGCTTACCATAGTTTTCACTCTAATCCTGCCATGTCAGCAGAGGAAGTTCCATTGCCACGCCACGTGGCATTGCCCGATAGGTCTTACAAGGTGACCAAGAGTCTTTATGCCACGTCATCAATTGGATTGCCAAAATTTGTGGATGACGTGGCACCGGATCTCGGGTGGATGACCCAGCGATCGAGTTGGATCGGGTACGTGGCAGTTTGCGAGGATCAGAGGGAGATACAAAGGATGGGACGGAGGGATATTGTGATCGCATTACGTGGAACTGCCACGTGTCTTGAATGGGCCGAGAATGTAAGGGACGTACTTGTTCAGATTCCGGGCCAAAACGAGCAGACTCAGGGACAGCCCAAGGTAGAGTGTGGGTTCTTGAGCCTATTCACGACACGTGGAGCTCACGTGCCAAGCCTAGCCGAGTCCGTCGTTGAGGAAGTGCACCGGTTAATGGAACTATACAAGGGTGAAACCCTGAGCATCACGGTGACCGGACACAGCCTAGGTGCAGCATTGGCCTTGTTGGTGGCAGATGAATTAAGTATAAGTGCACCAGAGGTGCCACCGGTGGCGGTGTTCTCCTTCGGTGGGCCTCGTGTCGGTAACCGAGGCTTTGCAAACCGTCTCAACACCAAAAACGTTAAGGTGTTACGTATAGTAAACTCTCAGGACTTAATCACTAGAGTTCCGGGCATGTTTGTGAGCGAAGGGCTCGACAAAAAGATACGAGAATCAGGTGCTTCGTGTGTACTTAATGTTCTAGACAACACCATGCCGTGGGCATACTCACATGTTGGAACAGAGTTAAGGGTTGATACAAAGATGTCACCTTATTTGAAGCCAAATGCAGATATAGCATGCTGCCATGACTTGGAGGCATACCTACACTTGGTGGATGGGTTTTTGGCATCAAATTGTCCATTCAGACCAAATGCCAAGAGAAGTCTGTGGAGATTGTTACATGAACAAAAATCTAATGTAAAAATGTTGTACACAAGTAAGGCTAAGGCTTTACACTTAAACCTAGAAAGAGGTAGTCGTTCGATGTCTACTTGTTTGCCTAGTCCATCTTAGAACTAGTTGTAAGAAAAATTGTAGAATACACCCTTTCTAAGAAAGGTCTATTTAATGTGCATAAACTTGAATTTTGTAGATGAAGCTAAATATTANAAGAGGTAGTCGTTCGATGTCTACTTGTTTGCCTAGTCCATCTTAGAACTAGTTGTCAGAAAAATTGTAGAATACCCCCTTTCTAGGAAAGGTCTATTAAATGTGCATAAACTTGAATTTTGTAGATGAAGCTAAATATCATTCTACGAATTTTCTATTACAACAAGATTTATACAGAGCAGATATACGTATATAGAGAAAGACGGTTTTGCATACCCAAAAGAAAGTGCATTGGGTAGGTAGGGAGGGATTCATATATCAGGTCAGGTGAGCCCTGTCCTTGACTAGGATCAAAGGTCAATGTACCCGTTTACGCTGTCATGAAATAATATAATTTAATTTCCACAGAACTTTGATTTGTGGTTTGTACAGCTGCCATACTGATATTTATTCTTGACTTGGGCCTAGTCTCTGTTAAGAAAAATAGACTTCTGAATACTTCTCCTTGTTTAATANTTGACTTGGGCCTAGTCTCTGTTAAGAAAAATAGACTTCTGAATACTTCTCCTTGTATAATATAATTTTGGTTTTCTTTTTTTATTTATCAATGACGAAAGATGAGAAGGGGGAAGGGACAANATCAGGTCAGGTGAGCCCTGTCCTTGACTAGGATCAAAGGTCAATGTACCCGTTTACGCTGTCATGAAATAATATAATTTAATTTCCACAGAACTTTGATTTGTGGTTTGTACAGCTGCCATACTGATATTTATTCTTGACTTGGGCCTAGTCTCTGTTAAGAAAAATAGACTTCTGAATACTTCTCCTTGTTTAATATAATCTAGAGGGAGAATCACAATCATAACTACTTCAAAATGGCCTAACTCCTGAAGCGGGAATGAAGACTTAACAACACGGGCATCCTGTTGTTTTGTCGATGTGGGACATAGTACAAGATTATTTACTGCTAATGACAAGAAGAGAAAGACACAACGATCACAAGGAACACTTAATAGAGTCAGAATTCAATCAAAGGCCACCATAATGATAATACTTCAGAATCATAAGAGCATTAGGCAATGTGCAACTAGGGCCATATGCCCCTGTTGGAAGAGAGCTTAAAACTCCACCAGCCAATTGTCCTACGTAGTTTTCGCTACTTTACCCCTCGTAGATGATGGAGTTGGGTTTATTCTGGGCTGCATGATTCTAATAGAACGGACTGACTAGGCCATTGCCCCAGTCGCATATCTGCAGGGAGTGGTTGTCCCAAAGCCACTCAAAGCCCTCACCAGTTATTGTTGCCACCTGTACTAGATTGAACATACCTATAAAGTTTTTGGCATGCCCCTATGTCAAACGAAAGTTGGCACAACTGATTGTCCCAATATAGGACTAGATGGTCCTGCTAATCTCACTATCTTCATGCCAGCCAAAGATGTGTTTTTGAAAATTCTAGCATTCATTTTTGTTTAAGTTAATATGACTGTGTTCATCAAGTAGCATGGCACTAATTTGAGAGATAAATCCTTGTGAACTCCATGCATGTAATTACTTATTAGAACATAAAATTCATACATATGGAAAGAAAGAAAACAACAAATGTTGAATTGTTTTACCAAATTATACACAAGGAAACCAATAAATGGAAATAAAAGTAAAAGTAATGGCATGGATTTACTTACGGCCACATAGGGGGACTTTTTACTTGCGCAACATGGAAACTTCGCCATATTGAAGGAAAAACAGTGAAAGATTTTGTGGGCTCAGTTTTCTCTTCAATTCCATGAGGGCAACTGCAAACACTCCCAACCCCGGGGGATTGATTACCTGCCTGACTTTTTAGAAAGGGGCTCAGTTCTGAACTTGTAACACACAACCTGAACATGTGACATACAACCTGTCCCCTCTATTGTCAAAGAGCAAAGACTTATCGGTTGCCAAATGTAGTAATAGAATATAAGCACTCAGAAGCATGGATCAGCTAATGAGGCTGAAGTGGAAACTAAAATCAACAGACCTATGTAGAACTTTGAGTACCTATGATATTAAGTATCCTCTCTCCGGTATGATGAATCCTCATTTCAATTCACATTATCCTCTTCTGTAACAATGTTAAATGAAATGAAATTCTCAAGGCAATCTATTCCCCCAACCCCTACCACAAAAGACCTCTTTAGAGAATCTTTTTTTTTTAAGGGTCACCAATAATCTCCACAAGAGCATATGCCATTTGTGAAATGATGAAACCTTGTAGTATCTCTCACAATGATTTCCGTCCCTTCAATTGCTGATATAAATTTTGTCGCTTGGTGGCAATCCCCACAAATTCTCAGGTTCTTAAATACCCGAATTGGTGTCCCCACCGGCATTCTAATTAGCCCAAAGGCAATTGCGAGTTTCTCACTGTGCCATAACAGAAGCTGCTCTTTCTGCACCTCTCCCACATCATGCAACGCATATTCAAGATTGGGTACATATCCTGCCAACTTCATTTTCCTCTCCAATTCATGCAATTTTTCATGTATTGATGCCAGTTCTGGGTGAATCCTATCTCCTGATCTGAACTCATGAACCACACTCTTTTCCTCAATCCAGCTATATCCGGGTGTTTTAATCACCTTGTTGTTCTTCATTGTCCTTCGAACCCAAGAGACATGGTCCCATCTCTTCATTGCTGCATAAACATTAGCAAGTTGAACATAACCAGCTGCACTCGTAGGGTCACAATCAAGTAAATTCTTGGCAGCAAACTCAGCCAGCTCTAAGTTCTTGTGAATCCTACAAGCACCTAGGAGGGTTCCAAATATGGGGGCATGAGGTTTGAAAGGCATCTTCTTTATCAAATCAATGGCTTCAACTAGCTTACCAGCTCGGCCAAGAAGGTCGACCATACAAGTATAATGATCTGGTTTGACTTTAACTCCATAATCCTCCTGCATCTTATCAAAATATTGAATCCCAAGATTGACTAATCCCGCATGGTTACAAGCCAATAAAACTCCAACAAAGGTAATCCAATCTGGTCTGATTCCTTCATTTCTCATCTCATCAAACAAATGAAGAGCCTTTTCTCCTGCCCCATGTTGAGCGTACCCAGAAATCATTGCATTCCAAGTAACCACATCTCTACGCGCCATCTCAAGAAACAATTTCAATGCAGCCTCCAAGTCCCCACACTTACAATACATGCTTATTAAAGAAGTACCCACTGTTGTATCTGAATGCAACGAAGATTTACATACAAGCTGATGAACTTGCTTGCCCAACTTCAATGCAGATAAATTACTACAACCAAGTAGAACACTACTCAGGCTTGATGAATTTGGCCTGATCTTCAACTCAACCATCACCTTAAAAAGCTTCAGAGCATCCTCCCCTCGGTTATTTTCAACATAACCTGCTATCATAGAGTTCCATGTCACCAAATTTTTCACCACCATCTCCCCAAACAGTTTTTCGGCGATTTGAACCTTTCCAAATCTCATATACCCACTTATCATTGCTGTCCATGCAACCACACTCTTTAGAGGAGCTAACTTAAACAACTTTAATGCTGATTCCAAATCTCCCGACTCCACAAAACCCGATATCATAGCATTCCATGTCACACTATTCCTCTCTGGCACTGCCAAAAACAACTCTCTGGCTTCATCCATCATTCCATTTTGAGAAAATCCTGAAATCAAAGTATTCCAAGACGGAATATCTTTAGTGGGCATTTGATCAAAGAAATTCTTAGCAACCTCCATATTGCCATTGCTTGAATAACAAGCTAGCATTATATTATATGATACAGTGTCCGGTTCAGGAATACTATCAAACAGTCGGCGGGCTTCGTCAACTCTCCCTGGCTTCTTAGAAAACCCGGCCAAGATTGAATTCCAAGTAACTGTAGTTCTAACTGTCATTTTTTCAAAGATCCTAATGGCTGAATCTAAATCCCCACATCGGATATATTGAGTGATCATGTTGTTTGACGAGATTACACTATTGAATCCATGTTGACCAAATGGTGCAAATTCATTTCCAACGTGTGAGGATAGTTTCATGTGACTGTTGGGAACGACATCGGTTTGTTGTTGAGGAGGGTGCGACGGAGAAGTTGAGGGGAATGTTGGTGGGTTCGAATTGGCATCTGGGTCTTGTTTTGTGGAAGTAAAGGTCTCTATTTCGTGTGTGGATGGTGGGAAAGTTCTGAGGAAGGCCAAAGAATGACATTTTCCTGTGATTCTAATATGATGAAGATACATTTGTAATGGCTGGCGAGAGAGAAAACTGTAAGGCTTTACTTGAAGACATCCCCCGCCATATCGCCCAATTCTTTGCTAGCCTAGTTTTTTTCGTTGGGAAGTGTCTATCAAATTTCCTAATCAAACCAAAATCGTGTAGGTGTTCAATTTGGAATTTGGTTGAATTTTTTTTTTTTGTTACATTGGAGAAGGTAAATAGAATATCTCAATTTTAATTTCGGCGTTTTGACCGGATTCATATAAACTGATTCCGATACCACTACCTATTAAACTAAAAAAAAAACCTCTGCCTACAAGATCAGCTTCAAACAAGTATCCTATCTCCCCTGGAGGTTTATCCAACTTAAAAAACTTGTCCACCTGCTTTTTCCCCCAAATTTGCAAGCGCACTTGCACAATGGTTCCCTTCGCAAAGTACATGCTTGACATATACATAATGTATATGCAAGATAATTGGCAACCATTAAAATTAACAAAAAAAAAAAAAATTGACAAAAGCACGGCATTCAATCAGATCAGATTGTAGAGTTGAAGAGCTATATTAAAATAAAATAAAAATTAGATCAGTGACTTAATTGACACCAAAAAAAAAACATAATTTAGGAGTCACCCATGTTGTTTACTCATTTATCTTAAGTGCACAAAGGAAAAGACCAATGGGAGAATGGAAAATTATGTACCAAAACACAGGACTGCTAATGGGACGACGGCCGACAACAGACGATGTTCAGCCCAGAAAACCTAGTCCACAACCAGGCAAAAGACCAAAACCACAAGAAAACCAAGACCAAAAAGAGGCGCATCTGACCCAGGCCGAGTACTTGCAGATCACAGGCCATGACACGCTCCTCAACCTGTTGGCTGACCTGAAGCCCGGGCCACCAACCCCGGCAGCATACTACGACACTGTTGTCAATATCAGCAAAAAAGTAGAAACCATTCCAGTACCCTACAAACACCACCAGATTTAACAATAAAAATTGCTATCTAGGTTCATAACTTCCTCAACATGAACAGATTGATCGTGGGACGACTCTAGATTTGAATCATATGTATACGGGTTATCAAAGCCTGAAGTACCTATGAAGCCCACTCACTACATTCAATGAATAGCCTACAGAATAGAGAAGTCACCAACAGCCAGATTCAAACTGAAACCAAAAATGTTTTCAATAAATTCAGTGCAAAACTGACACTACCCCAAAATGAAAGATACAAAAACAGCCCCTAATTTTTCTAAATATGGAAAGTGTAACCATGCAATTCAAAAGTCGAGACGAAACCGAGGAATAAACCCCCTGGAGGGCATCTAAATTTACACTCTTAAAAAGGCAGTACAATTTTTAATGTCATTTTAACACAGGAACACACTTTCATGTGGATATCCAGCCACTGACGAGCCATGGAAGATTTTAAAAACCTTAAGAGGCTCAAGCAGCAGGCAGGTGGTCTCTCACTTAGCACCCAAAGTAGGGAACTGCCCAGCATCTTCAATTGCTGGTGCTTCCACATTGCTCCTCACATCATTGCCACTGTATCCTCCTCTTCCACGGCCACGTCCCCGGCCACGGCCGCCAGGGCGGGAGTAATTTTGCCCTTCAGCAGGCTTCAGAAACTCATTTATGTTGACAGCCTGCACAAGAAACAAGAAAAAAAATTAATTATGAAGGAAAATAAAGGAAGTTTCCACCAAGCACTTGATCAATAATCCACACACGTGAAAATCCACTCCAAATCAATGTGAAAGATACTATTACACCATCTAATACCATTCAAAAATCATATTAAAGGTTCATTACACCATACATATAATATTTTTTCTTTTCTGTCGCTGCACTATAAGGAACAACAAATGTTAATTTGTAAATTTTTATTTTTATGTACAACAGAATTCAGCCAAAAAAAACTAATAGTAACAGCAGTCAGTAGTGAATGCTTCTCCATATTGCTGTTATAAAATATTTTGAACACATCTATATTTGTAGAGCTCCATGCACATCATCATAAAGAAATGGACCAGATAATAGTGAATAATCCAATCTCTTTGAAAACTACAAAGTACGCAAATGACCACAATAGACAAGTCACCATGGGATGCACTGTTAAAACTCGGTGCTTGTTTCCACTTAGCATCCAATTTGACAGATAAGATAAGCATGGAACAATAAAGCGTGCAGGTTTCCAATGGTAGGTACAAGCTGTCATTTTTATAGATTGCCTAGGCCACCAACTACATCAAAAGGGTTGACCACTGAGGGACAGTTTTTACCCCCAAAATGTTATTCATTGACCACTAAGGGATGGTTTTTATCTCAAAAATGTTATTCATTAAACCAAATCGTAGTTCAGAAATTATCAAAAAATTACCAAATACTGGGCATTGTGCATGTTATTATGTTAACCTGACCATGAAGAACACATGATCAGTTCCAAAAGTGACTAGAAATAAGGAATCCCTCAACAAACATTTCATAAACATCATCCCACCAGTGTAATACAGATTTATCTGGAGCAGAAAAACGTAAAAGAACCTGCCAGATGCTTTAATAACAAAGCATACCTTTTTGGCTTTCTCTTCTTTTTCAGCAGCTTCTTTACGTTTATCCTTTTCAGAACCCTGAAAATAGCGCAAATGCTAACAGAATAAGTATACTTGCACTAAGATTCCTTATCGTTAGTAGCATAGCATCCATAGAGCAACTTTCATCAAGTTCCAGTGAGTTTCACCAATTTAACGAAGATTTCATCATCATTCTTCTTGCTGGAAAGCAATTGCATGGATTCAAATTCTTTATCCAAGTGAACCTTCCTTTCCTCTGTCTTAAGTGCCAGCAAGGCCTTCCTCTTCTCTTCGAGTACTTTCTGGTACTCTTCCAAAGTCATCTCCTATCATAAAGCCATACATACACATTATGAACAATTAGAATACCATGGGTTACCATATCAGCAGCGCTTCTAAAAGTTCAAAAATTGCAAATTACCCAAAAATTCACTAAAAACATGATCCATAAATTATGACTCTCTCCATAATGGCATAACTAATAACTCTACACTAGAAACCAATGCTCCAGAATATTAAGACAGTGTGTGCCACCAGCACATCGTATACTGAGTCAATTGAAGGTTAAGAGGTTCATTCAATTCAGGTTGAATTAAGTCTTCTTCAACCCAGTATATACTCATGCTAAAAGACTACATGTCATCACCATGTGATTATTCATGAGAATTAAATTGGAGGTCCCTCGCATAACTTTTTCACAATACTAACTTCTATGTTCTAACAGAGTGGCTTAAATTACCCTACCAATATATCCTGCACATTAAACATGCCTTAATGCACTGTGTAGCCTATTGCTCAGTTTCACACCAAGTCAGAGCTGCAGAGCTGATTCCACAGCTTTGACAAGGTAATGGAAATAAAGTAAAGATTACATTCGAGAATACAAACTTAATGGCTAGGGAAAGAGTCCAGATTAACATCATCAGAAAAATCCTGACACATTTCCTCCTGATTATGGCACTTAATCTATATGTTCAGCATGCAAAATGGTACATTTTGTGTGGTTGCCAATAGATGAAAGGAAACTATACATGTTTTTTCATTTTAAAATATACTGGCCATTTTCTTTCCTGTACCTATTTTCAGAAACTAAACTGCACTCTAGGGAACAAAAAATGTGAATCTTTGGATATACAAAGTTCAAGCATCCTCAAACAAGATATTTACCTTGTCTTCTGGCTCCTTCTCTTCGGGCTCATTTAGAGGATTATCCTTCTTTGCATCTCCAACATCTTCCTGGCTAGATTGCTTCTCGGCATCGACAATCTTTTCACTTTCATTGACAGGTTCCCGTTCTTCAGACTCACTAAATTTGAAAAGAGGACGAATGTACTTCCAATGAATATACATATATTAAAATCGTAAGAAAAAATAACAACTACTAGATAAATAGAAGTCTCAATCCAAAGCTAAACTTTGAAACCACAACACTCACGGAGCAATCTCATCGGTGGGAGTACCCCAATTCCCACGGCCAGCACCATCTCGTTTAAACTCATTCCTACAAAGCGTCACAAATATTTAAGACAAAAAGCATAACACAAATTACAAATACATAACTCGTAATAACATAAAAATATAGAATCAAAAACTTTAAAGCATGTTGTAAGGCATCAATGGTTGGGTTGAACTCAAATATTCCACACACATAGACTAACCCACGTCCAGTCCCACTACGGCGATCGTATATCCTGCGAGTGCGTTCCCCTTCCACAACTTCTCCATTATTGAATCCACCGCGACGACCACCACGGAAACCACCACGAGGTCCACCATTTCCATGTCTTTCAGAGGGCTTCCCACCATCTCTATCTTCTAAAGGTCTGTATCCTCCAGAAAATCCATTGCTGCTAACAAATGTATTATCATTATCAGCAGAGTCTCGCTCAAATCCACGTCCACCACGCCCACGGCCACGCCCACCTCCACGCTGAACTTCAGTTTTGGTCTCCCTCACTACCCAAGAGAAATCATACACATGAATTAGATATTACACAACACCACAGACCAGATCCTTTTTGATATGATACAGATCACAAAAACAGACACCTCGTGAGCCACCACTAAAAGGAAATACAGAAAATTACAAAGGAAGTACAATAAAAGAAAAAAGAAAAGGAACACCATCAAAACCAACTATTATGCACTTGCTAGCAATGCCATTAGAAAACAACAGGCAATGAATGTTGGTTATACAACTGGAATGTAGAAACATGCACCTCCCAAGACCTGATTGAACTGCATATCAGAGAGAGAGCACAAAGGATAGGAAAAATAAAAGGCTCAATTTAAATGGTCCACACACCTGACACCTGGGAACCAAAAAAGGGTTTGATTCAAAAAAAAAATTTTAAAAATGGCCATAAGGAAAATCTTTTATTTGGTTCTAAAGAAAGTATGATGGGGACATGCTGAGATGGGATGTTGACAGAACGAATCTGGTGACCATGTAATTTGTCATAAGTAACAGAAGATCGTGCTGGGATCCTGATGTTGATGTGGTGATAACAGATTTCTATACATTAATGTGCAGGTTTTCAGGTGGTCCAGGTAGCTAAGTTCGGCAAGGACCGTAAGTTAATAATCACGCTGAAAAGTGATAATAAATACAACATTTTTGCCCCCCAAATGCAGATACCCAGGTTGTCGAGGACATGTTTGAAGAGGAGGTGGGTGCCCTGTAAGTTCACTACCCACACCATCTGAGACGTTTGTGATAGTGGTCAAGATAGGAAGGCATATACGAATTTAATATTTAATGGAGGTGGTTCCTGGCGTAGTGATTCCAACCTAAGTGGGCAAAACAATAATCTTGAAGATACAAGGGGGCAGCAATGACGATGAAAAGTTAGACCAGAGGCAGTGCCCAAAGGATGCCCCAAAACAGGTTGCAATGCTAGTTGTGATGGTAGTAGTGCCGCTGCTACCATAGTTGTAAGATACACGCAATTTTAAATAATTATTAATATATACCTTTGTAAAAGAGTTAAAAACTCATAATAACATAGCATTTCATTAATATTCTACTAACTATTCAACTTCCCAACATAGTTCAATAACATCAAAATACAAAGACCTCTAATTCAAACTTCCAACATTAACTGCTTGAACAACCTTAATATTAATCAAAGATTTTGAATTTAATTGAACAACAGTAACATCAAACTTCATTTTTTTTTAACCAGAACCACTGAAACGACATTGTTTCACTGGCTAGTGATTTAAAAATAAGTCTTGGGGTAAAATGACCAAAAAAAAAATCTTCATGTATCATACGTATCGTATATCGTATGATACGATTCAAAAACGATACAAAGACCAGGTGTATCATGACGTACCATGCAATACGTATCCCATATCGTACGATACTAATATCTATGGTTGCTGCCTTAATGGCTTCCTTTCTACCATTTCTTTTTGTATATGTCGTTTATTTTCTTACTTTCTCAGTAATGATTGTTTGTAAGACTGCTACATAATAGTCCCACTACGACAAATGTGTATTACAATTATTCCTACTCCTAATAGTTAAAGTGTCAGAAAAAAAAAAAGCGCATCCACCTCAATCCCTTAAAGGTAAGTGCACAAGCTATATAATCCCCAATAGAGCTCACTTCTAAACAGCTACTTGGCTTTATTTGGTCTATTAGCTACTCTGCTGGCTACTATCGTAGAACCACCAAAACAGATAATTACTAGAATACATCAACTATTGTCAATACATAAACATAATTGGAACCCTCAGCATAGCTCAGAACTAATTTTTGAAATCAACATACCAGGACACAGATTTTAACTCTACAAGACTCATCAGAAGTTTACACATGAGTTCTTTTTATATCAGAATTTACCAATATAAAGACGAAAAACAATCAAAATCTGAAAAGCATATGGCAAATAGTTACAATTACATGCGTGATTGTCTATCATGCACACATACATAAAAACTCATAAACTCCCTCAGAAAATACATCAAACACAACCATCACGATTTCATCTTCACTTCCTCCGTATACAAAAATAATATATACCCAAGTCAGCTCACCAATATATATATACACGGAGAGAGAGAGAGAGAAGAGTGAAGGTTGACGCTTTACCAGCCTGAGCTGGAGGGAGTGGCTTGGAAGGCAGTTTGGCTGGCTGCTTAGTCGGTTGCTGAGCAGGAACTGGAGTCTTCTTGGGAGCCATAGCCAGCTTTTGCTGCTGAGCAGCAATGAGCTGACTTGGGTCATCGTATTCATCATCGCCCAGAAGATCAAATGGGTTCGTGGTCGCCATTTCTCAATCCAAATAAATATAGATACTGCAAAGCTCAGAGCTTTGTAATGATTTTAAGCAACCAAATCCATGTGTAGATCTGGTAGTTTTGCGTACCAACGTACGAGAGAGAGAGAGAGAGAGAGAGAGAGAGAGAGAGAGAGAGAACCCCAACCAAAGCGGCAGAGATTGAAAAGGAGCGTAAACCTAATCTTAAAAACCCTAGTGATGGGTCATGATTGAATGAGGAAAGGCTCACTGTTTTATAGGTGGGATGTCTTGCCGTTCGTCGGATTTGACCTTAGGATTTGCGCCCTGCTGGATGGATTCGGAGAAAAGGAGGTGGATTTTTTTTCCAAGGGCAAACGGGGGTGTTTTACCAAGTCAATGGCCTATGGCTATTTAGCCTAGAGTTTAAAATTCGGCCCGGTGACGAAACTATTGATCGTGGGTTTCATGAAATCCATGGGAGGAGTGGGTTTGGGTTTCACATTTAAATGACATTTATATATTTTATATTTTTATATTTATGTTTGAATTAAATTAATTAAAGAGCACAATAATTATTTAAATACAAATATATTATTATAATAATTATATATTTCTGCACATACTAAACATAAGTACGGAGACATAAGTACGGAGAGTATTGAATACCAAATAGGACTTTGATGTATAAATAACTTTAAGTTAACTCTTATGGTATTAGACGTGAATAAAAATATGTTTATTATTGTTTATTTTTTTATTATTCCATATCTTCGAGAATGAAAAATAACTATTTTATTAATATACTAAAAAAAAATCAATTTGTGGGGAGAGGTTTTGAGAAGCTCTNACTTTAAGTTAACTCTTATGGTATTAGACGTGAATAAAAATATGTTTATTATTGTTCATTTTTTTATTATTCCATATCTTCGAGAATGAAAAATAACTATTTTATTAATATACTAAAAAAAATCAATTTGTGGGGAGAGGTTTTGAGAAGCTCTTTTTTTTTATTATAATTTCCATAATTTGTAATATTTTTATTTAATCATTCGATTACAGTCTATCAGATGACGTATTAGGACCACTCTTTATTTTATTTTTTTAGGGGTCTTCCATAATATTTGGGTAATTTTGGGGCAACAATTAGACGTGGAAGATTGTGACAGTCACACACAAAAAAAAAAACTCGAATAAAAACAAGGAAAACGATAGTTTTACTAGAGTTCAATGGCATAGAAGAAAAGATAAAGATTTAACTCAGCATCACAGGATGCTCATGGCCAGCATTTTCTGCCCGAGTCCATGGCTATATCAAGAAATTTCAAGGTTTCCAATCGGTCATCGACTAAATCCCCTTGCCCCCTACCAACACGTGTGCGCACACGCGTGATGGAGACTCGGGCAGAAACAAGCAGAAACAGAACAAAAGGCAAATACTGCTTTTCACCAATATTCTTACTTTGTACAAAAGTTCGGTTGAAATCAAATACATCAAAAGAATGGAGGTTTTTAACCGACTGCTGAAACAAGAGATAAGAATAGCAAATCATAGTGAACGTTCTTTCTTATCCAAGAAGTTGAAAGAGAGACGACTAGTTTTACATGTCCCGGAGAACACTGTAAGCNTTACTTTGTACAAAAGTTCGGTTGAAATCAAATACATCAAAAGAATGGAGGTTTTTAACCGACTGCTGAAACAAGAGATAAGAATAGCAAATCATTGTGAACGTTCTTTCTTATCCAAGAAGTTGAAAGAGAGACGACTAGTTTTACATGTCCCGGAGAACACTGTAAGCAAGGCTTCAGTAGCCAACCAAATATACTTCTCTCTTCAGGAAGAGCAGCAACCAGATTTTTGGTTGACAGATTGTCCTCGGATCTGCACAGTTGGAGGCCTGGCATTGTTCATGGCTGGTTGGCTTGCCATCCTGCCAGTGCAAAGCAAAAACGACCAGGCAAAACATTCAGGAAGATATACGGATTATTAAAACTTCATTGAATAATTGAACCAGCATATTTGTTGACAGGTTCCATGACAGTCTCTTCTGTAGTGGTGTTAACTGTTAAGACAATGCCCAAAAGAGAGAGAGAACAGTACCTGTTCTTGATCTCAGCCGCCATGGCCATGAAAGCCTGTTCCACATTGGTTGCATTTTTAGCACTTGTTTCCAAAAAGGGTATCCCAATTTCATCAGCAAATGCCTGCACAAGAAAAATAGAAGATACTGGTGACATCAATCTATCCTCGTTATATACTTCTTCAAGAAAGAATTAATTGAGATCCAACATTTACATAACATAAAAAGAAACATTAATATTACCTTCCCTGCCTCATAAGACACAACCTTCTGCGCCGTGAGGTCACACTTGTTTCCAACTAGGAGCTTGTTTACGTTCTCACTCGCATAGCGGTCAATTTCATTTAACCATTGCTTGACATTATTAAAGCTCTCTTGATCAGTCACATCATAGACCACCTGCCAGAAAAGCCCACAGAATGAGACTGATCCTTCATACAAAGCAAACTACGAGGAGGAAAACTCATTTTGAAAGGAGAAAATTCATTGCTTACAATAATTCCATGTGCCCCACGATAGTAACTGCTAGTAATTGTCCTAAAGCGTTCTTGCCCCGCAGTGTCCCACTACATAACCAGAGAACAATAAAAGGTGACTAGGTCACAAGAATTCGATAGCCAAGTAGATGTTACACTTTCAAAATTCACAATGATTCCAAAATCATATCAAAATTATTATTCATAAGATATTTTGGAAAAAGACCAAAGTTCAGCNAATAAAAGGTGACTAGGTCACAAGAATTCGATAGCCAAGTAGATGTTACACTTTCAAAATTCACAACGATTCCAAAATCATATCAAAATTATTATTCATAAGATATTTTGGAAAAAGACCAAAGTTCAACCAAGGAAAGAAGCTTATTTTTCAGATTTCATATTAACTAAAAACCACCTAATTATTCCATTAAGAAACTTTCCCCACAATACATGGACAGAAAATCTCATAATTTGAGGTTTTAAAACTAGTCTGAACAGAAGCAACACTGACACAAAATTGAAACAGGAACTCCTCAAGAACAAATCAAATAACAAGATGATCCGAAAACTCACAATCTGGAGCTTAATAGTTTTCCCATCCTGCTCCACGGTGCGGATTTTCTGCAAAAAAGAACATAAGAATATTATCCTGAACATTTATGTTGAAGGAATCAGTGCCAAGCCAAGGCCATCACAAAGTAACTTACAAAATCAACCCCAATGGTGCTAATGTAACTTTCCAGATATGAATCATCCTGACCAAAAAATACCAAAAAACAGTTGAGAAAAATAGAAACTTCTGTAAAACTAGTTGCATAGCAATGAAGCTGGCAACAGAGGACCAGAAAAAAAAAAAGAGAGAGAACTNCCAAAAAATACCAAAAAACAGTTGAGAAAAATAGAAACTTCTGTAAAACTAGTTGCGTAGCAATGAAGCTGGCAACAGAGGACCAGAAAAAAAAAAGAGAGAGAGAACTGTGACAAAATTACATCTATGTAACAGAAAATTAGAGCACACATCAAGGATCATTGGGCTTCATGTAACCACTGTTGTCATAAGGTGAAAAATCTATTCAGGCACAGTGTATCCAAACAAAATTAAACTTGTATGTTTGTTCTCCTCAACCTTGGACACGGTAATATAGTTTTAAATTATCCACCTTCAATTGGCATCACCGGTCCTTTTTCCTGTATAAATAGGCAAAAAGATACCACAAAGAAATCTATGAATGAAAAGGAAAGGAGGAAGACTTCAACATTTTAAGTACTGCACTGCCTACTCCCATGGGTGAACAAAATCAGGCCTTCCAAAGTTCCATGATGCTTTATTGGAGTAGAAGTGACTTTCCTGGATACGACTTCTAGATTAAATACCGTTACTGGTAGTATTTCTTGAGGGAATCATTGAAACTCTCATGTAGCATACAAACCCCAACAAGCAAAAAACAATAGACCCACTAAAGCATTTTGATNCAACATTTTAAGTACTGCACTGCCTACTCCCATGGGTGAACAAAATCAGGCCTTCCTTAGGTCCATGATGCTTTATTGGAGTAGAAGTGACTTTCCTGGATACGACTTCTAGATTAAATACTGTTACTGGTAGTATTTCTTGAGGGAATCATTGAATGTAGCATACAAACCCCAACAAGCAAAAAACAATAGACCCACTAAAGCATTTTGATCAAAAAAAAAAAACTAAAGCATTTTGGACAGGCAAACAAGAAAAAAAAAGATAGACATTCTGACATCTAGAACAAACAGAAAAAAGGGGGAAGGGGACTGCAAAACACATTTAACACTTACAGCAAACCTCAGAAGGAGACACGATTTTCCAACTCCTGAATCTCCAATGAGCAAAAGCTTAAACAGGTAGTCACTGCAACCATAGATAGAGTAAAACATTTGTATTGAAGTAGGAAATGATAGCGGAAAGAAACCATTTTGTCAATAAAAAATTGCTCATTTTACTAAATCAATTGCATGTATATCCTAAGAAAAACACTAAAAAATATGTTCAAATGATGGACAACTTTAAACTCTTATTTAATCAACAAGAGTTTGATTCCACACAATCCAAATAGTCATAACTGTTTCATGCAGAAGCATGGTTCTAGATTGTGACAGCCAAATGCACAAGTGGGAAAGGAAGACGATTCATTTTTCCTTTTCCTTTCCTTTCCTTTCCCGTCTATAAAACACAGCATCAGATTTCACATTTCATATCTTTTGAACTGCGAAGTATAACATTCCAAAAGTGCTGTTTAGTTTAATATGAAATATTAACTACTAGGAGCATATTAAAAAAACTACATTAACTAGACTCTCTTAAAGTACTGGGTGAAAGTAGCAAAGTGTAGCTGATAGATGTGAAGGGTCTCTCCTTACTCAAAGCACAAAAGCATTGAAAAAACAAAATATTCCAAAATCAATTTCTGCATTGTCCTTAACCCGCTGGACAGCAAAACAATAAGGTAACCAATTAATAATTTAGCNAGTAGCAAAGTGTAGCTGATAGATGTGAAGGGTCTCTCCTTACTCAAAGCACAAAAGCATTGAAAAAAAAAAATATTCCAAAATCAATTTCTGCATTGTCCTTAACCCGCTGGACAGCAAAACAATAAGGTAACCAATTAATAATTTAGCAAAAAACAATACTACCACAAACCAATTAAATTTTACTAATTTAATAATTGCAATAGCCTAGCGCAACCAGTAGCAGAAAAAAAATCATGGTTGCACCCTCCACAAACAACTCTTCATGTTGTGGCAAGTAACTATGTAAATCAATTAACACCCCAAAATATATACCTTGGAAAGATTTTAATTTTGTTATTATTTCCCAGGGTATGACCACGCTCGTATGCATATAAAATCTTATATCTTCAATTACTCAGCTAGATACCTCATAACTATGCCCTTCCCNTGTGGCAAGTAACTATGTAAATCAATTAACACCCCAAAATATATACCTTGGAAAGAGTTTAATTTTGTTATTATTTCCCAGGATATGACCACGCTCGTATGCATATAAAATCTTATATCTTCAATTACTCAGCTGGATACCTCATAACTATGCCCTTCTCTTTCCCAATATCCGTTTCTTTCCGAGTTTCTTAACTAAATATAATATCTAATCTGAAAACTTGTAAAAAGGGAGAATTATCAAAAATATTAATCATATAATTCAGCACAATTCAACCAGCAATACACCATATACTCGAAGATCTTATTGTTCATAGATCTTTCAACTCCCAGAGATAACTTTTTCAAAATAAAAAACCAAACACGATTGACCCAAATGATCAACAGATCCATTATTATAATAACTAGATCTGTATAATTGAGTCACATCATATTATATAACTCCACCAGCAAAAACACAACGATAAAAATATAATCAAAGAATTTTCATGACGAATCATTACAGATGACAGATCTATGTGAATTGCATCATCCAAACAATAGAATTGATAAAATTTGAGGAAAACAATTAGATTTTGAACTTTTTGTTCAAAAATTTTGAGTCCAATAGGAACTTACTATTCTGGATTCATGACTGTATGGTGTCGAGATCAATTGAGCCGAAGGAGATTGATACGGAGAGAAAACCGGATATATGCAGTCTTTCCAGCTAGAACTTGACCTGAATTCAAGATCGTAGCCGGCGAAGGTTAGAGAGAGAGAGCGAGAGAGAGTTTGAAACGGAACGGACAGAATTCGCAGTTCTTAAAGAAGCCTAAAATGTCTGCAACTGTGCGAAGGTGTGGACGACGTGGCAAATTAAGAATGCTCGCCACGTGGCCTCCAATAATCATGATTCATCAGCAGGTTAAAAAAGAAAGGAAGAATTATACCCGGACCCTAAAATTTGTGACTCAATCACTCAAACCCCCTAACATTTAAAATATTATATACAAACCTTATAAGGTTTATATATGTGTAACATTTAGACCACTGCCATCAAATGTCTATTATAATATCTTTTATTAAATTACACTCAAATCTCCTAAAATTTATAAGTATATCCGTTTCTAAATATCTGTAGNCAAATCTCCTAAAATTTATAAGTATATCCGTTTCTAAATATCTGTAGTTTTACACAATTTTTTTTGTTTCACAATATCTGTCGTTTAATGAAATCAAAACATAATTAATATTTTTTTTTCCAAATTTACCTTTATCTATGTTTTTCAATAAGTGCTTAATATATTAAGTGTAGGCTAAGTGTCTTTCATATTTTTTTTCTTCCTAATACGGATTGAATAAAGGTATTTTTGTTTTGTGTAATTTTTTTTTACTCATATTAAAATTATTTAATAACTTTTTTAATCCCTATGCAAAATATTAAATGACAAATATTTAGGAATGGAAGGAGGAATACTTAGGTCTCTCAAATTTAATATATTATACATAGATAAAAAAATCTCAATGAAATGTAGAATATCAAATATTTTAAATTTTAAAACCAAAATTCATGTTTTATTATATCATTTATTAAAATAAAATAAAATATAAAAAATCAATTTTTTTCTTAAAAAAATCCTAATTAGTATATTTCCTAGTATTGGTCATTCTTGACAAACTCTGCTTGGATCACACTGCTTAAAACCTTGTTGTGTGACAATTTTTCTTTTTTTGGGTCATTGTTCGGCCAAGATTCGATTAAATCATTTTTTAGGTCTTTATTAAGGGATTGATACGATCGATATTGACTGTTCATTCAATTGTATTGGGTCAAACTTATATTAAATTGAAACCCCTACAATGTTTCCCCTCATTAGAGCATCTCCAACAGATGCTTCAAATGAGTGAAATAGTTAAAATTTAGTTAAGCAAAGCCAAAAATCATATTTCAACAAATTATGTTCACATATTGTAAAATAAATTTTTACTACAGTGATACTCTAAATATAAAGTATTACTGTAGCCACTTGGAAAGATATTTTATATTATTTTCTCTCTCTTCCTCTACTTTCTTTCATTCTCTCAATTTCTACCTTTAATTGTTCCCAAAAAAAATTAATACAAAATGAATAAGAAATAATATTTAAAGGGAATAATTAAAAATACGTTATAGTGTTTATTAAAAAAATGAGTAACTAAAATATAAAATGTTACTTTTTGAATAGGTAAAATTCATTTTGTTGTTGGAGATGCTCTAAGGCCATAGATTATATCAAAATCCCTTGGTTTATATATTTTAAAAAAAAAAAAAAATTGGTTCATAGTGATGGTGGTCCTTTCTTACTGATGAGTAATTTTTCAATGACTTGTATACACTATGAGACGGTGTTATATGATGTACACACTCAATGAAAATCTATTACAAAATAATTTGTAAATACACAAGTTATTTTTTTAAAAGAAAATATATATATTAAGGTGATATGTATTAGTCATTCATTAGATATGTACAAAATTTTATTATTAATATACACCACATGACAGTACTACATAATATGTTAAATCCGCTAAAATTTTAACCTTACTGATAAAAAAAAGTATAATATTTCTTGCTTTTTACATGATATAATATTATGACGATGATGATACAATAGACATGCGAGAGACAAAATCGACTCCTCTTTAAACCTAATATACGACAATTACTGAATTAGTTGTTGTTTTCAATAAATATGGATACTTATTATTAATTTAATAATTATAAATAATTAAATCAACAAATTAAATCAAATTAGCACCGCTCATATTGAATATTTGAGCATCATTTACAACTTTTAAAGGTTAATTACAATTTGTTAAGATAACTTATAATTGATCCTAAAATTCACAAGTAACCCATAAAAATTATAAATAACGCCACAAAAATGATTACTTAGACCATCAAAGTTAAAATATGTCCTAAAAAATTATATATATATATATATATATATATATATATATATATATATATAAAATAAAACAGGAGTGTGTTTAAATGTTATCTCAGTTATATTTTCCTCCTCAAAATCATCATCAATCACTTACCTCATTCATCTCCCTTTGTCAGGCTCAAACGTCAAATCACATCATCATTTTTATTACATATTTAATTATTTATATATTTTCTCTTTCAAAATATCATACCACTCATATATATTTAATATTTAATTAATTTATAGTTAATATATTTTAAAAAAATTTAATATAATAGGATCGATTTTTTGGACGCTTGAATTTTATATTTTATCGTGATTTCAGACACGAGTTATAACTAGTCTTTATATATATAATTTATAATTACAATATAAAACAAGGCGAATTCAACATCCAACGGTCTTAAATCGTTTTATCCATCCAGCGGCTAGTAATTCTTCTTTCATTTCTCCCAAACTCTTCTTTCTCCGCTCATAATTTTTTTCAAAATCAGACCAACCCAGTCACTATCTGTCAGAGATGCCGCCTCCCCTACATTGTTTTTCTTTTTTATTTTTCCTCCCTTCTGTCAGACGACTCTTAACGTTGCACACCGTCACACACACATACACAAACACTTTCTCTCTCTCTCTCTCGCCATAGACGCACGAAGCGCCACAGCACCACCGCTAGAGCCACAACTCCACCATCAAGGTATTGTCCTCCCCTCCCCTCTTCTCTCTTCCCCATCCCCTGCTTCACACGCAGACACCCCTTCCCCCCTACTCTCTCCCTCAAACCCCCCACCATCAAACCTTACCCGATTTCTCACTGTCTTTCTCTCTCTCGCACCCTCCCTTCTCTCCGTCCTCTGCCTCTCACACACAGAATACTCCCCATCCCCCCCCCCCAAATTGTGATCGAGTAGCACAATTGAGTTTGTTTTTTTCTTTTTCTTTTTTTATTTGAGTAAAGGTTATAGTTTTTTTCAATTTTTTGAGCTTGATCGCAAGCTGTTTGAGAAAATGTCTGAAAGGATCTGGTATTTTGGGGGGAGAGAGAGGGGCATGGGAAAGAGATAGAAGAGAGTTGCTGGGGTCTCCAGGAACCCCGACAGCCAGCAAGTCCGCTGCAAGGAATGCCAGGTATCTCCCTCTCTATGTCTTCTCCGCTCCTAACTTTACCCTGCAGCTATGTTGCATAGCTTTTTTTTTTTGTGTATATGCTTTTGTTAGTTGTGGTTTTGGTTCCTACAATGAATTAAAGAGATGAGTTTTGTTTGCTTGAACATAATTTTGGGCATGTGTTTTAGCTCTTACTGATTGTTGTTTGGCCACAGTCAACAACTCAAGCTGTAATTGAATAGTGGGTATGAGAAGGAGAATGTTTTCTTTTGCTTTGAACGTGAATGAATATGTACATGTAGGAATGGAATATTGTTGTCATGTAAATCAATGCATATCAGGCATATTATTGATATTAATTTTGATATGTTCGACACAATGATGTAGAGATAAGAGCAGGATTGACAACGAACTTTCCGGNCTGTAATTGAATAGTGGGTATGAGAAGGAGAATGTTTTCTTTTGCTTTGAACGTGAATGAATATGTACATGTAGGAATGGAATATTGTTGTCATGTAAATCAATGCATATCAGGCATATTATTGATTTTAATTTTGATATGTTCGACACAATGATGTAGAGATAAGAGCAGGATTGACAACGAACTGTCCAGATTAGTTCTTTCAATCACAAAATTGTATGCTGTTGTTTTGCTCTCAATTTAAAACTCGCTTTTTTCATAAAATTTTGATGTATTTTTTTTTTTGTCATTCTGTCAAGGTTTTTTGAATCTTTGAATGATTGATAGAAATGAGTAGTGGTTGTGTTGCTATATTTTTTTAGTAGCTTGATGAGTGGGGTGGAATGGTATTAGCAGGTTCTTTTTTCTATGGTAACTGTACCAGTATGGAGGCGGAATTTAGAGCCCTTTTGATTGGTTTGGAGCTTGTTAAATTGCATGGTTTTATTGGTAATCAGATTGAGATAGAATCTGATTCTTTGGTCTTGGTTTCTACGGTGAAGGGAGGTGCTAATTGTGCTTGGCCTTATTGTGGTTTCCTTTCAAAAATAAAGGGGCTGCTTGGTCAGGCGAATTTTCAGCTGAGACATGTTTACAGGAAAGCTAATGGAGTAGCAGACAGTTTGGCAAATTGTGCTGTGTTGGATGGTGCTTCGTCGGATTTTTCTGTAGGAAGGCAGCTTCCATTGGCAATAAAGATGGCTCTGCTACAGGATCAGAAAGGTTTACCTGTGCTTCGGGTTACGAAACTGTTTGATGATAAGGGCTATGTGTGAGGCTGTGCATCGTGTAGGGTGGTTTCTGGATGTGTTTAGAAGGTCTGCTGTGCATTTCAAATTAAAGACATGTTTTTGTCTTGTTTGTTATTTTGTCTCTTCTTGAGTACATGTTTTGTTGTGGAGCTTGTAAAAAGCAGGCATGTCTGCTCTTAATTCTTTGTAATTTTTTGAGAATGGAATCAAATCTGGTTTTTTAAAAAAATATATATATATAATTTNTGTAAAAAGCAGGCATGTCTGCTCTTAATTCTTTGTAATTTTTTTAGAATGGAATAAAATTTGGTTTATATATATATATATATATATATATATATATTTGTAGCTTGAAACCCATTTCAACAAGCTTATAATATTGATACCAACATCTTTATGAGCATTCCAGTTCTATGTATGTGAATAATGTGACTAAGATGTGATCTCTAATAGGAGTTAAGTTTTTATTTGTTATCTCTATCATTAGATTGATATGAATCTCACTTACTTTAATCTGCTAATATATAATTGTATAAATAAAAACTTTCAAATTTATTCACATTTCAGAGTTAAAGTTAACTACAGTTTTTTGGATACAGGTTTTTGGATAAGAGTACAAATATATAAATTGTGTAGGTTTTTTTTTTTTTATGTGTACTATTTTTAGAGGGAATTTTGCCAAATTGTTTTTTAAAAAAATAGTGGCCTTAGATTGATTTTAAATCTTTATACAACTAATGCTCAATTTTCTTTGTATTTTATAGTGCATTCAGGCACGAGTTGTGGTGTTATGGTGAATTATGATTGAGAAATTTTGCCAAACTTACACTAATGATTGGGTATGTATTGATTATATGGTAGTATGGTGAATTATGATGATTGTTATATATGATTATAAGTTTTGTAAACAATTTTAAATTTTTATGGGTTCCTATTTTTAGAGAAAATTTTGCCGAAAATTTTCTATAATAGTATGAACTATTTTAATTTCAAATTGACAGGTTGTTTTTAGTTGCAAAGAGTCTGTAGATAACGTAGTATTCTTCGAGTTTTAATTTAATTTTTTGTTATGTCATGCCTTCAGGCATGGACAATTACTAATATATACATAAACCCAAAGGGTGTGTTTGGATAGTGGGTTAACCTTCATAAGGATAGGGTAATAAGGTAATGGGTCTCACAAAACATTTGTTTGGGAAGCAAAAAATAGTCAGGATATAAATCCCGGGTCTATCCTTGACCCGGGTGCTACAGTAATTTTTAATCCTGCTACATGGGTTAAAATTAATCCAACTCTCCCATGGGTTTCAATCCTAGTCGATGGGTTATGAAGGGGTAATGACATATTTACCCACCTCTCCTGAGAGCTTTCTATCTTGCTTTGTAAAGGCAACGAATCCTATATCTCTTGCTCTTTGTGTTTTTCTCGTGTGTTTGTGTGTGTGTGTGTGAGTGAAGGAGACGAAACCGAAGCCCAGTGGTTCTGTTGGGATGGATTTGGGTGTCTGAGTAGACTGAACGAAGAAAAGAACTTCATCTGCACCACCCTTATCCTTGATCATTCACAATCACCCGCACCACCACGATGGTGGATGATTTTGAACCCTAATTTCTCTGTCTCTCAAATCTGAAATGTGATGGTGGGTGCTTTTGACCCTAATTCTCCTCTATTTCTCAGATTTGAATCATTTTTGGGGTAATGGTGGTGGGTGTTTCTATTGAGGCAATGGTGGTGGTCTTCGGTGTTTCTGTTGTGGCGGTGGTGATGGTGGTTTTCGGTGTTTTTGTTGTAGTAATGGTGGTGGTCTTCGGTGTTTCGGTTATGGTGGTGGTGGTGGTCTTTGGTGTTTCTGTTGTGGCAGTGGTGGTGGTGGGGATTACTCCTGTGGTGGTGGTGGGTATTCTCCATCTATGCAAAACTTCTCTAATTTTTTGGTGTTTTATGGTCTTCATATCAATGCGTACAATGGTAAATGTCTATAAAACTCAAGGGAAAGTCCATTCAATTCAATTGTTCTTGCCAAACAATAGCTTGGGTTGGATGACATACATAACCCATCCAATTAAGTGCCTAAGTGGGTTTTGGTGAGATAGGTTAGAATACAAAAAATTCTATTCATTCCTATCCATAGCGATTATCCAAACACACCCAAAGAGAGCGTTTGGATAATGGGTTAAAGGGGGTTATACACGAGTTGGATGGGATAAAATGAAGGTGGGACCCAGATAACCTTCGTTTGAAAAGTCATTTTTGAGTTGGGATAAAAATTTCGGGTCAAGATTTGACCCGGTTGCTACAGTACCATTTAACCTCTACATACCGGCACCACTTAACCCACCCCTCCCATGGGTTACAAACCCAGGCAAGTGGATAACCCAATCATAGACACATTTGCCCCTTCTCTCTTCTCCACACCATCGGACCTCTCTCTTCTCCTGTCAACCAGAGCGCGAAGGAGCTGAGCTCATCCAAGGTCTGTTGCCCAGNAGCTCATCCAAGGCCTGTTGCCCAGAGGCGAGGAAGAAGACGACAATCTAAGGTCCTCCAACTTTCTGCTTTGTGTGGTTGACGACATCGCTGGATTGAGGTAAGTTTCTCCGGTCTCTCTCTATCTCGGTCTCTTTCTCTCTCCTCTCTCTCTCTCTCGCTTTCGCTTTGTGAAGGTGACGAAGCCCAAGCTCAGCATTTCTGTTGGGATGGGTTTGGGTGCCTGAGTGGACCGAATGAAGAAGAGATCTTCACCATGATGGTAGATAATTTTGAAACCCTAACCTCTGTTATGAAATTAACTCACCTCTCTATCTCTCAGATCTTTCTAATAGTTGAATGCACCTTTTCACTTTTCCCAACTCACAACCGGTAAGGTGTTTGAAGAATGCTATTTTCACCAATGTTGTTTAGAAGAAGCAAGNTCTATCTCTCAGATCTTTCTAATAGTTGAATGCACCTTTTCACTTTTCCCAACTCATAACCGGTAAGGTGTTTGAAGAATGCTATTTTCACCAATGTTGTTTAGAAGAAGCAAGAGGCCACCTTGGTCGTATAAATCCAATGCTCACCTTTTTTCAGGAGGGATTCCACATTATTCAGCCACCGTGTAACATTGTAGTATCGTAGTTCTGCAACGCATCTATCAATATCTAAGCTATGTTTTGGGCTAGATGGAGTAGTGATTTCTTTTGTTATTTGATTTATCAATTTTCGATAGATCACTTTTGCCTTGTGTAGGATGGTATATGGATGTGACTCACCATAAATAGATCACTTTTGTATTAAGACCCCTTGTGTTAGTGATTGATACCATGACTTTAAACATTGTTCCTTTGAGAAACTAAAGCAACTAGATACTAAGGAAACAATATTGGGAGAAGAAAATTCACAAAAGACCTCTAGTATTGCGAGCAAAAAAAAAACGAATGAGAGGTTGGCTTCTTTCATAGTAGATTCAACTCCCCTTTTTTTTGACTTTGGAAATGGTCAAGCAATAGTTTGTTGCAACTATCAAGTATCATTACGTTGAGGGGTGAACATTGTTCCTCAAGCATTCTTTGAAATTGTTCAGGTGTGATGTGTCCACGAAATTAAATGGAACTAATGTTATAGCAGGGTGGTTTTGAATGGTAAATTTCAACTGGTTTCCAACTCTTATGGCTTTTAGGAATATGGCTGTTAGAATTAGAGGTGTGCCTTCAGTGGTTTGTTGTGATTTCACCGTGAACTCTTGGTTTTCGGGAATGAGCCTCACTGAAGTTCGAAATTTCATTTTTTTTTCAATGTATCTAGGTGCCTTAGTTTCCATACATCATGCATATGTATATATTCATATGCACCAATTTTGATATTGGATTCCAAACAGTGGAGAATGAGACTTTGTTCACTTTTGTGAGGAATTGGATTCCTTATTCTATGCCTCATATTGGAGAGTTATGAGGTCAATTTATAAATCATACCCCAAGCTTAATCTTCTTCTTCATTCACATACTGTCAAGGTCGAAGGGTTTTCGTAGCCCAATTGTGTGTGTCTATAATTTGAATTCATTTTATTAATACTAGGTTGTTAGTTATGTTTGATTAACGAGTGTATTTAACTGCTAGCTGAGTATGATTCTTTTACATTTTTTCATCTTCTCCTCTATGTTTTTCTGATATATTGTTCAAGTGCTTGGTCGATTGCTACTCATAGTTTTTTCATTTTGATGATTTGTGTGCTGATTATTTTCTTACAAATATTCAAGCTACTCAGAGCCAACAATACTGTGTTTTGGTTTCATTTTGTTTTTGAGAATTGAAGTATGAATTGTGAATTGAATTATGTATTATGAATTGAATTATGAAGTGTGAATTGAATTGTGAATGGTGAATTTGGAATTAAAAGATTTATTTGGAAAAAAAAATACCAAAAAAAAATATATATATATATATATATATATTTAACTTTCCTTATTTTTATATGTTTTTATGTATATGTGTTGGTCTGTTTGTGCTGGCCTGTTTTTCATTCTGAGTTGGAGCTGCATTTTAGTTCAGCAAAGGAGTTGAGAAGATGATGCAGCTGAATGGTTGCTGAACTGTTGTTTTGTAGCTTTATGCTATTATGTGATGAGTAAGGTTTTTCATGAGCTGGCCTGTGAGCATAGGAGCAGATGCTGATCTGTGTGTTGAAGGAGGAGCTCATTTCACAGCTGGAAGAGTATTAGATCCAGTTGTGGGTTGGTTTTGCAGGCAGTCTGGTCTGATGGACTGCTTTTGCACTTAAGGAATGGATAGCTGAAGATAGTTAATGGGTTTTAATCCTTTTGAAGGATTAAAGCCAACATTTTGTAATTAAATTTTTTTTCAATTACTTTGTTTCTTGGTTTTCTGTTATTCTAGCAGACTGATGCTGCTTTAAAGCCTGCCTGAGACTGAGAATGTTACTAGGTGCTGTAAGTGGAGTGCAGTTCAAAGGAGGAAGAGTGCAGTACTGCATCAGGGATTATGGAGTTTTCTGCTTCAGATCTCNTTTCATAGTAGATTCAACTCCCCTTTTTTTTGACTTTGGAAATGGTCAAGGAATAGTTTGTTGCAACTATCAAGTATCATTACGTTGAGGGGTGAACATTGTTCCTCAAGCATTCTTTGAAATTGTTCAGGTGTGATGTGTCCACGAAATTAAATGGAACTAATGTTATAGCAGGGTGGCTTTGAATGGTAAATTTCAACTGGTTTCCAACTCTTATGGCTTTTAGGAATATGGCTGTTAGAAT